TGCGAAGCTAGAAAGAAAAAAGGTAATGGCAGAGAAGGTATTTCTCCATCATCGTCATCACCTAAGTCTGCTCCCTGCAGGAGGGTGGGAGGAGCGTGTCTTCCGGGAGGCTGCAGAGGGTGGAGGCCGGGCCCAAACATCCCCCCCACCCCATCTGTCCCGTCGCCATGAGGCCTCAGAGGGGCAGCTAGCCTGGGCCTTGGAGGAGCTCTATGTCAGGGAGAGTCTGCAGGGATGTGGCCAGATGTGGGCCCGAAGGGGCGGTCGGCCGCCTGATTGGTCCAGCAGGAGGGCAGAGGGAGGTGGCAGGCCCTGGAGGACCTGAAGCTGCCACAGAGGAGCTGTGACCTTCTTTGAGGGACAGGAATGGCCATTGAGGTGAGCACAGGTTTCTGCAGGGCAGCTCCCACCCCCGGGGAGAGGGTGGCACAGGGAGTGGTCTGGAGGGCGCCAGGGGAACCAGCACCGCAGGCTCCTCCGTCACTCGGGGCACTAATCCTGCCCAGGACACATGCCCACCCCCTCGTCCCGGCTCTGGCCTAAGCTACCAATAGACACCACAGGGTATGGAATTAGAGGTCAAAGCCATAACCACAGCCCAAGCAGGCACTGTGTTGTTGTTTTTTTAATGATGCAATAATAACTCATTTGATTCCCATAACATCACTATGATGGAGGTATTATCATCTCCATTTTATAGAAGGGGAAACTGGGGCACAGAGAAGTTAAGCAACTTGTCTAAAGTCACACAGCGAGGAAGGGGGAGAGACAGGACTGGAAATCAGACTGAGTCACTCTGCCTCCTGCTGTAGCAGTCAGCACTCCAACCGGGGGACAAGGGAAGCCGCCTTGTCCTGAGGCTGCGGGAGCAGCAGCCGGCTGCCCAGGGGAGGGTGGCTGCGGGCTGGGGTGTTGCTGTTGCTCCAGCAGTGGTGGGCCTGTCCCCGGGATCCCTGAGCCTAGAAGAGTCTCTAAGGCTCATTCAGAAAAACCCAACGCATGCCAGAGGCCCGGCTAGGTTCTCGGGGTTATCGGCCGTGGGTGCTCGGCCCAAACCGGGGTCCAGCGGGAGCCCAGGCCCTGCCGACCTCGCGCTGTGCGCCTCAGGTACCTACGTCTGCCTGCTCCGCAGCCACCACTGTCTCCGTTTCTGTGCCTGTGGTCTCTCCAGCCTGGCCTCTGGCCGAGACCCTGCCCCTCTACAACCCCGAGTCCCCCCAGTCCCTGGGCCCACGCAGGCGGTGCCTGCAATGAGCCCATGGTGCCCCCAACCCCAGGACACCCATGTGTGCTCCTGGGGCCTGGGCCACACCTAATTGGTGGGATGTGATTCGATGAAGGACTCCGGGAAGAGAGCCTTGTTCTGGGTGATCCGAGTGGCCGGAAGCCCAACGAGCGCCTTTGTGAGACCCTGACTAAGAAGGCGCGCCACCCGGAGGCAGAGACTGCAGTGATGCGGCCACAAGCCAAGGGATGCCTGGGGCACCCGAGCTGGGAGAGGCAGGGACAGGCTCTCTCTACAGGCAGTGTGGCCTGCTGACACCTGCATTTCGGATCTCTGGCCTCCAGAGCCTGGAGACAACACCTTTCTGTTGTTTTAAACCTCCAGGTTTGTGGCGATGCCTCGCACATTCTGTTCCCCACCTGGATGCCTTCCCTGCGCACGAAGTCTGCTCTGCTGTCCCTCAGGCCTCCCCAGGGGACTTCTTCCTTTATCTGCAGCCCCCTGTGTGGAGGTGA